AAAAAAAAAAAAAAAAAAAAAAACGTTAATTCAGCTGTTGAGATGTCCCTTAGTAGAGTATAGAATATGGCATCTTCTACTTGGCTTCGTATCATTTTGCACAGCTCCAAAGAGGGGCAACTTGATACTGCGCTGCATGTTCTTTGAACGCTTGTTCCGGTCGCCTATGCTCAAAAAATAGTCTTAGTTTGATTATGGACACTGAATTTCGCTTCCTTATATTGCAAATAATGTAAGTTTAATATATATTGCAATTTTTGTAATTTGTTTTTAAATTTTGTCTCGCAGAATACATTTAATTACCTTTCAAGCCTTTGGATAAACAAGGAAACATTCAATGTTGCAGGGGGAAAGACTGTGTTTGACACACAAGAGACCAAATTGACGACCTACTGGGATACACCCTTCACCCAGATCTGTCTCGGAATGAGGATCCATGGGGAGGAAAATATCAATTTTCTCCTCGTAAACAAGAAAGCTAACTCTTTGTATTCGCTGATCGCTGACGGACAATATCGCTCTACCTCACTCGGTCGTGACAAATGGAAGACGCTGATTGGTTCCCCAGCCTCCCTACAGGAAAATTGTAATAAGGAAGGTTTCAACGCCCGTTGCTCTTGGTCCGATCACTCCAAAGCAAGAATTGGTATTGTTAGCAACAATCAAATCCAATGCAAGTCGTGTGATTCCAGAATTGGGTTTGGTACTGGAGGAAAGCCTTTTGACTCTAATACCTGTGGAAACGTGGCGACAAGTGCACCAGATAATGGAGACCAGTACATTAAAGCGATGGGATATATTTTTATCTTATAAGACGTAAATTTTGTCTTTAACAGTCGGACATTGCTTCCCGTTCCCACAGCCATTCGGTAGAAACAAATATTTTCTATTTCTTAAATAGATACCTTGCAAATATATAGTTAGAACTATCATGATCAATTCGCAGACACACAGAAATCCACGGCTGCACACGACCAAAATGAAACGTCTACTTCAAATACATCTAAATGTATCTAGTATTTTAGATAGTTTACAGCAGTTCTCAGTTGAGTTCTGCTAATTATTCATGTGGCAAGTTAAGCCGCAAGAACTGGTAGCTCCCTCATGTCTTAAATTTGAGTCCTTTTGTTACTAGCGATATTTGTGCGCGGAGGACGCACAATAAAATACTACGGGAGTCACTTCAACACGCCTAAGCTTGAGAAACAACCCTCTTGCAATGCAACTTAACTACTTACGATTTAACTAAAAATATTTCATTCAATATAAAATAATTTTTGCACCTTAGAAAATCTCTCCCACGCACTTTGTTTGGAAGGAGAGCAAAAACGAACTTTCCTTGTAGTCATTCAAAAGCGTTCATTTTATTAAAACCAGTAAACGTTATCTGCAACTCAAACACGAAAATCTTAACATTTTCTTCCGTCCATGAAAACCGTGAAGTTGATTTGAACGAAAGCTGTCTTCATGATCAAATGCTAATCAATCAGGGAAAGTAATAAAGCTTGGCATGTAGCATTAAAATTTATTTCAATTGTTAAATGATCAAACCAACAATTATTATAATGCAAATCAATATCTAAAACATTTAACAGCTGGTAGCGTTCTTGCAAGTCCTGGAAATAACATCAACAACAACAATATAAAAAAAACAACAACAACAAATAAAAAACAACTGTTGTCGGATAGTGTTAACATATTATTGTAACTGATAAGGAAAATGTACTTTGTGTAGTAATTAATTGTAAGGATTTTTTTTAGTAGTGTTTTAGACTGATACACACTGAACTAAGTTAATATTGAGCTGGCGTACTGTAATTGAAAGAGTAATAAGAAAGGTGAAGTGCATATCGTATAAATAATTATAGTTAATTTACTGTTTGTTTGTATAGTATTAATGGTATAAAGTGTAGGTAGCTTAGAACAATTCAAATTGAAAACAGGCAAAATAACGAATAGAGATGTAATGAAATATGAACGACGTGGCCTAAGTAATGTTGTGAAAAATGTAGTAACCTATATTGATAAGTGATGTAAGTGGTGTAATGTAATTCATCAAGAGTATTGTAGATAAAAGTGATATAATGAAGATTTAGCCTTGTACACCTGTTTTATGTGATTAAATAAATGTTTATCTAAAAAAAAAGAAGAAAAAGCAAGAAAAAGTATGTTTTATACCTGTTTGCTTATTCTCGCGAAGAATACATTGCAAGTTAGTTTTTAATCGACTCATTGTTATCTCGAGATATTTGTGATGTCAGCTAGCTAGCAAAGTCGAGCTTTCAGATTTTAGAACATGTACATCGTATGCGTGCATCACAAAACATAGAGGATAATACACGGCGGCGAGAAGATATAAATTTCCGAAGATTTACGAAGATTCTTCAAAACCTGTCCAAAAGTCACACGAACGTTGTAGAGCATTTTCCGAAGTTTTCCGAAGATTACCTAAGATAACCGAAGATTGCCGAAGACTTTCGAGGAAGACCCGAAGATGTTTCGATGATACACCAACGAATTTAAGAACAATTCAGGAGACAAACTTGATATCAGTGAAATCATCGATAATTCAATAGTAAGGATGTGGAAAATAGGCCACTCGAGTCCCGGATGTGGTTTCGTACGAATTTTACGAGTGGTGTATTTCCAGTAAAACACTCGTGTCTATATAATAAAATGCGCGTTTCAATTATAAATTGATTGGGTTATTTGGACATGTCATGGGTTATTCGTGACGCTTTTTTGTTTTGTTTTCATTTCTATATCAAAAGGTTATAGGTAATGTAGTTTTTTAGAACATCAAATTGCCAAGGGCGCTATCAGCCTATAAGTCTTAGACATAAGCATTTAACTGTCAGCGTTAAGGTGTCCCTGCTTGTTTGAAAACAAACCTGTACACTTAAAACTTTATGTATAGCATATTGACCTGCAAAAACGTGGAAAACGAGAAATATAAAGTTAGTTTTTCTTCATCGTCGACAATTGCTGGTTTTCAGTGTCACGCCATTCAAAATAGATCAAAATAAAAATCAAAACCGTTCAATAGATTAAGTCCAAAATCTGGGAAATGAAAGAAGGTAAATATACAAAGACTCTCGCCAAGATTCTGGTCACAGCAATTTTTCTTATGCAAGATATGCGGAGAAATTTTTTACCCAAATTTATAGAGATTTGTCTGGAGACGCCATGCTGGTGCCCATCCGTATGGGCACCATTATAGCAGCCGGAAACCGACTGAAACATCTGTCACTGAGTTTTGCCACAAACGCCTGTATTTATCCCTCAAGGAACTCTAAAACAATAAAATAATACTTTTTCTAAGACATGAACTGTTCAGATAGTCAAATTCCCAGAAATAAGTCACTTTTTTAACCATCATGACAGCTCTCTAAGACGTCATGTAAATGCCACGTCACGCAAAAGCTTAGAAATTCAAGCGCAGTGTATCACAAAACCCATTCGGAGCGAAAATTTGTTTGAATATTAGTTTTCAGCTGCTCTTATACATTATTAAAGTAAAATCTTAGAAATATCAATAGTTTTGTAGTTTGAATTTTAGTGACGTCATGTGAAAACCAGCTATAACTTCATTCGCCGTTTTACCATATCCTGGTTTACCGCAGTTTTTTAACCTAAAAACTACCTCCTCGTGCTCTAGCTATACACGTCAGACGAGACTGCGTTTCATGAGCTACTTCCCTGATAAGCTATGTCATTGGTAGTCCAACGCAGACGCTATTAGGGCTCTTGAAGCGTTCCTTCCCCGCGAAAAAAAAAAAACGCGTGACGTGCCCTCAGAGCGTCTGCGTGGGAGACTACGCCATTGGGCATTTTGTCGTCTGATATTGTGCGTGCAAGATGATCGTTCTACCGGTTTTGGTCAACAACGAAAAACGAAAATACAGTGATGAGCTATTATGAGTGATAGTCGCCGTCTTGGGACGAACACTATCGCATCACGTGACCAATTTATTGCAGAATTATAACGAGTTATATAACTATTTCTTTTAGCGCCAGCTTTCTTTTTTGTAGGCCAGGATAATGCTGCTTTGGTTTTTGCACCAGCAACGGTAAAATGAATTTTAGTTAAAAGTGTAATAATTATACTTTTAATCAGTACTGCTTAATACGGAATAACTAATTAAGGAGCTAATTAGTACTTTAATTAAAAATATGAAATATAACTCCAGAAGAAGAAGAAAAAATACTTTTCAGCAGGAAAATTCTCTTAAAAAAATGATTTCTGTTTCAATTAAAAAAAAAAAAAGAAAGAAAACCGAAAAACGTTTTAGAAAATACACAAGCTCTGAATTACCAGGTTTAAAATTGATCTATAAATTTTAAAATTTACCTGCTAAGGAAACACGACATTTGACAGAATGAAAAGAATAGTTCAACCCTAACAGATGGTGACTTTTTGTTTCATATATGAAAATGACATGGAAATAATACTGATAACTGACAAACCAAATAGCGACCTCCAATTTCTTAATTTTTTCATACTATCGACGAAACGAAAGTAGAGAAGTTTGAGAGAAGAACTTTGCCTCGTTACAATTCTCGCGACAAGCTATGTTTCTCATTTGGATTAGTGTATATTTATTGGAGCTCTGCTGCGCTGTAACCAAAGTTTTCTGTTCCATTGGTAAGTTCAATCATCGATAACTCATTGGCCCTGTTTTAAACAGATAAAATGAGGCCATATATATATATTTTTTTAACTTACGTATTTTAATTTTTATTAGTGATAAGCTCTTCGACTGAAGGAGTGTTCGTTAACGTTCGTAATTATTGAGCTCTCCCCTTAGTCGAGGTTAAAACATAATAATTTTCAAACACAACGTTTTTAAAGTTGGAATTTTGGATTTGGATAGAAAACTCTTTAAGCGAAGCAGAGTGCCAAAATATAAATTGCAGTTTTCATTTCTGTTTTTGACGAGTATCTTTTGTTCTCTTTTGCGTTTTGTCAATGTTTTGTCAATAAACTGTTTCCTCGCTTAATTAACTTCTCCTAATTTATTTCAGAACGAGATCGTGAGCTGTACTTCCCAAACTACTACTTTTTCGCCGATAGACGGTTGATCAAGCACACAATAAAAACATTATTCGTTAAGGACTTGGACAACTGTGAACTTTTTTGTTATCAGCATGACAACTGTGTCAGTATTAATATTAAAAAAAATCCCGACAGCGCAACAGGACAACAGGAATGTGAGCTAAATAATTCCACTCACATGGAGCATGGTGAAGACCTGACAGCTGACAACGCTTACCTTTATCGCGGAGCGAAGGTAATACTTTTTGCCGTCACTTTGTTCAACTTTAATTAGAACATTTTACATGTATAAATATCGCTGTTTTAATTTTTCAAAAGATGAATATACAGTAGTAGCAAGCGTTTGAGTGTTTTCGGACCTTACCGTTATATATGATTCTGAATTACTTGTCGCGTGACGCGTAAACATTGAGACTTGCGCATGCAGCAACTACGAATTTTGGAAGCTGGCAGGTATTCAAAATTTTCCACTGTGAAAAATACAAATTACTCTGCGGGAGATTTTCTTAATGACGTACCGAATCTCCACATTCGCATATAAGATGTTGCCAAATACCACACCAAGTTAAATGAGCGCCCCGGATGTTTCTTCTTAGTTTAGTGGAAGAGCGGGCGAACTTAAACAATTAAGGCAAAGGGGTGGGAGAGGTGAGGGGGGTTGGGGGTTGGGGCTCTTATCAATAAATTTAGTAGGACTGCAAAATGGTTTTATGCGACGTAGCTGTACAGTTACTTGTCTTTTCTGATTGAAAAAGAAAAAGAAAAATATTTCTAAGAATTGCTGGGTGTGCAAGCCTTTTTGAAACACAAAGTAATATCACTTACGAACCGTGATGAAATAAAACAAAAATGTTTCGCCTTTTAGAACTTAATGACCCACCACCTTTAACTGTAAACCTCTTAGGATATTACTGCTTTAAAAGTCTACATTTTTTTTTTTTTTAAGGGGAGAGAAGGACGCGTATTTGAGAAAAGGTCTTTAGATTCGCTTAATGAAAGGAAGGTGCTTATTCGAGAGATTTAAGGGAATAAATAATTCGCGTAATCGGTTCAGCCCGGAAGGGTGTTTTTTTTTTCAGTCTTGTACAGAACAAAGCATACACTACGAATACACAATTTGAGTTGATAATTATTGCCTTGGGGATTATGCAAATGACAGTATAAAAGAATTATTACACTAATAATTTCGATATATTAAAATTTAGCCTAAAACAATAAACCTCAGTACGAGGCTCTGAGAAATAACTGCATAATTAGTGGGGTTTATTCCTCAGAGCCTTGTGCAACGGAGGTCTATTGTGTTACGCTGAATTTTAATATATCGAGATTTGCCTATTTACACGTGTTGCAACCATTACTCTACTAGAGATAGCGAAAAGGAAAAGGTTGGTGACCCACCCTCCCACCCAACGAGTAAGTCAGGCTTGATCTTGTCCGCTTCTTTTTTCGTCTGGTCTTTCTTGGGCTTGTCCCAGGCCAGAGCGAATCTCCATATCTTATTACCATGTCATGAATAACAATACCTAAGGTAGAATGTTACACTGTTTTGGTAACATCTCTACTAAAATATTATCCTATTATAATATTATTTCCATGTATTGTCAAGAACGCTTGTGGAAACAACCCGCCATGCCTCAACAACGCGATTTGTTAGTCAGGATTTACAGACAAAGGATATCGATGTTTGTGCTATCCTGGATTCAAAGGCGAATACTGCGACAAAGGTAAGGATAAGACAATTTCGATTTTTTCAAGTAATCTGCGAGCAGTAAAAGGAAAACATCAGTGTATGTCTTATGACGTCCGTCAACATGGCCTCAACAAGCAACTAAAACTGGCAAAGAATTTCTCTGCGCCAGCAAGGAAAGGGTAAGATGAAGAAGCCAAGCCACTAACACCAACGTGAACTTTAAAAACGTGACTGAGCAACTTGGCTTACGATGTCGCCAGGAACACTATGACTCGTACGTGGTGGACCTTTTGATGATGGCACTAAAGTAGAAGAAGAGAAGATGGTGCTGAAGAAGTTGAGTCCCGCGAAGGTCCAGCCAAAATACGAAGCGGCGGTCTCTCACGATCAGGCGAAGAACTACACCAGAAGTTATGTATAGCACCGACACCGGAAAAACCGGATCCAGTGCGGCTCTTCAAGCTTTAGTTGCCGAAGCGACCCGAGGGAACGAAGGACACAGGGCCTCTCTATCTGAGCGTCATATATCGTCGTTAGTGAACAAATGTCGAATCGAATCGAATATCGGCAATATCAGGAAATCAAGACAAATAAGAAGTTGACAAACCACTGAATGAGGAAAACATTGGTGTCAATTAAAACTGAAGGGTTCTGGTCGACATTGCGTGAAATAACAGGTCATGCCCGTTAATCTTTGTTAGGCCACTACGATGAAATTGACCAGAATTAATGAAAATAACTGCAAAACCGAAATACTCCAAACAGATTTTCGAAATTTTCACTAGGTTTTCCCTCGCAGTTTCAGTACCGCATTGCAGCCTTCACTTCTTCTGGTAGCCTCGTTTGATCACCGAACTACACAGCTTGCACGTTTAATCGAATTTCTACTCCGAAGACGTCAACAGAAGTCTCAACCAGAACCACAGAAGAAACGAAAGGCTTACATCATTGAGTCAGAGGACGAAACTTGAACATTCGAGTGGACTGTTTTGCTCTGGCTATGACTTGAGAAAAGGAACTTCTTGAGGTGGAACGTGTTTTTCCTTTGTTACGCTCGAACCAGTGGCAATTGAATTTCGGAACGTGCAATGTTGGTCTGAAATTTCAAATCCTACTCGCGCTGCGCGCTCGTTCGATTTTGAAAACGCGCGTAAGATTTCAGACCAAAGTGCAATCCACTCAGTTTAATTACCATTATTTATGGGACCAGACTGTGTTTGACGTTTTTCTTTTTCAGATATTAACGAATGCTCTTCAGCGGCGCCATACTGTAGTGCTGATGCTACTTGCCACAATACCATAGGTTCATACCAATGCAGATGTAAGCAAGGATTTTCAGGAGACGGAAAGGAATGCAAAGGTTAGTGTATATCTCGCGATGTTCTTATAGCATTTTTTTTTTCAAAAATACTGCTCTACTTGTCATTTGCGCACTACTGACCGTCTCTGCTCTAGCTTTAAAACCAGTTTATCGGTAGCTAGATAAATCGTGGAGTATATACTCATATATATATTTTTTTTCCA